GCAAAGCTTCCACTCCATCGAAATCAAATATATACAAAATCCTTAGAGCTGTGAGGTGTTGAATTTGATGTGGCAACTGAGTTAGCTTTGCCCAACCAAACAAACGCAATTCTTCAAGGGAAGTACCGAGTTTGTGAATAGAACTCAGACTTGGGAATTCCTCCAACTCTTCTGAGAAAGGACCGATCCATAATCTCTTCAAGCGAGCAAGGCGGCCGAGGATCTCCTCCAAGTTAACAGAGGCCAGACTAGGACATCTGTATATGGCAAGGTGCTCGAGAGTAGTGAAGAATGACAGCCCACTTGGTAGATACTTTAATCGAAGGCATCTCCAAATCCATAGTGATTTCAGAGAGGATAAGTTTCCTAACCAATTCGGTAATGTCTCCACTTCCTTGAAATCTGATATTGACACCCTTTGCAGAGTAGTAAAGTTTAGGTTTTGAATCTGATGTGGAAACTCAGTTAGTTTTCCCCATCCAGTCAAAACCAGTTGTTCAAGGGAGGCTTGGAGGCTGTGGATGGAACTGAGACCAGGAAATTCCTCCAACTCTTCCGAAAAGCCACCAATAGACAATCTCTTCAAGCTGGTAAGGGAAATGAGGGTATTTTCTGGGATGCTCCTCAATTTTGAACACAAATAAATCCGCAAATCAACCAAAGAATGTATTTCCTTCAATTCTTCTGGAATAGAGATCAGGCTATGGCAATTGGATATCCCCAACTTCTTAAGAGCAATGCAAGATGATAGCCCACTGGGAAAATGCTCTAATCCACAATCTTCAAATATTACCTCTTTAAGAGAACTAAGCCCACATAGACTTGGAATAGACCTTAGATTTTTACAGCCACGCAAAGATAAAATTTTTAGACACGTGAAGGTTGATAGGCTATTCAACTCTCTGCAATCTGGAATTAAGAGTGGCTGAGGCAATGATAAACCATTTGATGAAACCCTTTCCAACTTGGGACAATCAGATATGCGTAATTCTTTAAGGGACGCCAATTTGGCAAATCCTCCATCGGCTATAGTACTCAATTCAACACAGTTTGAAATAGAAAGTATTTGAAGAGATGAAAATCCTGTCATTACTGGAATGCTTTCTAACTTTGTGCACTGTACAATTCTCAATTCCACCAAATTCTTGAGCAAAAACATATCAGAATTCATAACATTCTTCGACATCCATGATGATAAGTTTTTGCCTCCATAACCATCAATTTCTAATACTTGTAGATCTGAGTGTGGTTGGAGACCTTCCAAAACATCTTCATCTTGATTGCCTTCTTTTTCCCACTTTAATCTCAACTCAGAAATTGTCTTCTCGTGTAGCTTTGCTCCCATAGCTTCTGATTTGTCCTTAACATGCTCAAGATTACAGATCTTCAAACTTCCTCTGAGCCATCTCAAGCTGCCCAATTCTTCAATTTTGCGTCCCTTTGTTTTGCCTACAAAGAACTTTGGCAATGTTTGAAGACATGTTAGTTTCCCAATGTTTGCAGGCATCTGCTCTTCATCACTGAAGTATATATGCCTCAAGTTGATTAAACTTCCAATTCCTTCAGGAGGCATTTCTAGAGATCTGCAAGTCATGAATCTAAATGTTTGCAATTTGTATAGCTTGGGGATCAACTTTGGCAGTTTTGTCATCCGAGTTCTTGAAATGTCCAAATACCTCAGATTCTTCATGTTACCAAAACATGGTGGCAATTCTTCAATACCAACAGAATCAGCAAAACTCAAAACTCGTAAACTTTTAAGATCCACTTGCATACCATTGGAAAAACCATCCTTGAAAAACAAAGTGTGTAGCTTTGGAGCAACATATCTTAAATTTGTTGGCACTGTTCCCAAACCATAAATGAGATTCAAATTCCGAACATTAGAAATATTGTTGTGAGTCTTCCAAATCATTGTCTCATGTTTTGAAATTAATTGTGCAAAATCATGAATCAAATCATGCATTGTACAACTAATAATACTTCCAAATGAATCTCTTTGTTGCTCCTGAAAAAGAGAATACGATAACAAGTCATTTATATACTTATTACCGATATCCTCCATTGTCATAGGACTTTCTTCAGCAGATTGGAGAAATCCCTTAGCCATCCAAAGCTGAATCAACATCTCTCTTTCCATAACAAAATCTTTTGGAAAAATAGAACAAAAAGCAAAACATTGCTTTAAAGCTGGCTCTGGCAAGTGATCAAAACTCAATTTTATCACACCTCTGATTTCTATATCATGTTCAAGTGGACCCAATGCCTCGATCTTCCTTTTAATTGACAACCACGTGACTCTGTCCAACCTTTCTGTACACAAAATACCTCCTATAACCCTTGCAACTAATGGCACACCTCCACATAATTGAGCAATATCCCTTCCAATTTTCTCCAATTCTAGAGTTATAGAAGTATCTCCAGGTACTCTTTTCCTGATAATAGACCAACAGTTAGCGATTTGTAGTTTCCCAAGATGATGCATGTGTTGAGGAAGTGTTCTCATTTTCAATGCAACTTTTTCATTTCGAGTTGTCACAATAACTCTATTCCTTGACATTTTACATACTCCTAGCAAACAGCTTCTCAAGTCTTCAAATTTCCCGTGACTCTCTTCATCCCACATATCATCCAGTACCAGAAGAAAGTTGTTCTCCCCCATGGCTTCTCTTATTTTTTGAATCACAGTATTTTTGTTTTTTACTGCACAAGAATTTCCGGAGAGAGACTCCAGCATTTCTGTTAAAATCCTCTCTACTTCAAAACTGTCCGTTGCACAAACCCACATTATTTTACCAAAGTAGTTTTTGATTCGCTTATCATTACACACAGCTTGTGCTAACGTGGTTTTACCGAGACCCGGCATACCCACTAAAGACAATACACAAAGGCGTAACTCATTAGATGAGTCAGTTAAGAGGTGCACCATTTTGGAAATATCATCCTTTCTCCCCACAACCTCTGATAAATCACCAATAGTGGCATGGGTCTGTGCGTTTCTTCTATGTTCAGAAACCACTGTGCCAGCAAGTCTATTTTGGAGTCCAAACTCTCTTGCTTCATTGTTAATAGCTTCCATCAATGCAATAATTTTCTTAATCTTCTTAGCAATCCCCCTACGAAATAGAATGGTTTTAATCTTTTTCAGCTTTTGGTCTTGGTTCTTCACCTTGCACTTCTCACTTTCGTAGGCAACCTCATCCAGCACATCATCAGCCTCAAAAACGACATCCCTGAGCTTCTCAAGCCAACCCTTGACAGCACGGTCTCGCACCTGTCTCTCCTCTGCGTCCAGCAACACATCCTTGGTCATGCACATTTTGTTCTGAAGCGTTTTAAGCTCCTTCTTACACCCGACAGCAAGGCTGATTTCCTCAGCAGCAGTGGAAATCAACTTGGAAATTGTGGTATTGATGATGGGACTCAGGAGAAAGTCAGCCCATTGTGGATCCATAGCTTGAAGAAAAGAAATGGTTGGTGTTGGAAGCCTCTCTGGAGCAAAGAAAGGAAGAAAGGAATGTTGGTGGCGCATATAATGGATGAAGAGAAAGTATTGTTGAAGAATTTTCAAAATATTTCCAAGATTTGGATTCGAACCACAAAAAGTTGGTTCGAAGCAATTGCACAGGCTGCATTTGAGAAACTGTAATATTGGTTTGAACCATAAAATTATGGTTCGAACCATTTATGTAAAACTAGAATCCGGAAAGTTACAAATTTGGTTCGAACCACATTTATCTGGTTTGAATCATTTACGTCAAAAATCAAAGATAGAATTCTGATAAGTTTCTGAAAAGAGTGGATAACTTTAAAAGGCAAGGAAACATGTGAGTTGGAATTCAAATCAAACCAAATGACTTTTGGAAGAGTTTCCAACGGATAAAAATTGAAAAGAAGTGTTTGTTCTCAACAAACATCTTGAAAAGAAGTGTCTATTCCAAGAGACATCTTGCCCTATAAATATGGAGTTATCTCTTCTTCTTTGGTAGAGTCTTTTTGAACCCAGAAATATCTAAATAAAACAGTCCCTTTTTGTATTGCGATTGCTCAAGAAATCCCTATACAAAAACTATTGTTTTGTCGCTTTCCAAAGGATGGTTCAGTGGTTGATCTTGCTAGTGCAAAGGCTAGATCAACAAGGCGCTTCATTGTATCCTATGGGCATTTCGGGTTACCCTTTTTGCATACCAGATCTGGTGGGGGTGAAATTAGCCTAAAGGAAAGTAGCATTTGCAGCACATCTTGGAGCCAATGATCTAATGATCTATTTTCTAACCCCCTATTTCTCCTACAATCTTTAGGCTAATTTTCTAGTTTTTTGAGATCATGGCTTACTGGATAATTGAGAAGAAACTTGTGCTACAAAACGTATGTGAAGCTAGGGAGATTTGGTGTGCAATAGTGACAAAAAGAAAAGGGATTTCTGGTGTGATTAACCCATCTACGAAAGTGGTGGTTTATTAAATTGATTATAGAAATCGTGTGACAAAGCAATCGTGTAATCAAATTGTCAATAAGTGACGGTAGATGAATCAACCATAGGATGCAAATAAAGTTTTTAAATTGTAAGGTGATGATGATGCATGATATCAACGCAAAAGGAAAACAAAGTGCAGACATATTGAAACTCAATACAAGAGGAATAGGTATGCAGAATAAGTTTATGCTCTTTATTGGCATGAATTTTTCATATGATTTTGTTTTGAAAACAAATTTTGAGTGGGTTTATAAAGGAAAAAACAATGCTCATGATCTAAATACATGAGTTAGTTTTAGAAATTAATTCTTCAAGTTTGAGTGATGGTTTCATATCATTATCTATCAAATCTCTTTGAATGAAACATTGCATTCAGTGATATTGTTTCAAAGGCTATTCATCCATGCTTATCTCTTGTATCTATTTAGTTAAATATGAGGAGAAAACATCTCCTGGATAATGGCTTCAAAGAAGTTATCAAATATGCAAATGACAGTGTAAAGATTTATAATTAAAAGTCATTTGGCACAATGAGGCAAGAGAAATAAAATGGGTCTTTAAATCCCATTTGGAGATTAAATAAATCTCAGACTTGATAGCATGGTTCTTGGCAATGAGAAGGAAGATATTTATGAATTTGAATATGATCATGTTTTAAGATCATGATTGTGCCTTGATTTTGAGATTACTAATGTGATACAAATGAAGTTTTGTTTTTCTTTTCATTTAGTAATGATTAATTACTGTTCTTTGGTGAATACTTATGAAGCTTTATGGAGTTTAAGTAGTATATCTTACTTTTGGACCTGATCTTATTAAGGTTTGCTTAAGGCTTATTAAAGTCAATGAGATTTCCTTTACTTGGATTATGTTATAAGCATGTTTATGTATATGACAGTTTTAGTTAAAATCATTGAGTTTTGTACATGTGTTAAACATGCTTACTGTTTTTAATATGAGGCTTGTGGAAATATAAGAGGTTGCTTAAAGCATATGTCTACTTGTTACTTTTGATGCCTCTTATTTATGTTTGTAAGATTATATACCAGTATATGAAAATTGAAACAAGTGAGAGTCAAGTCTCATGATGGTTATTTAGCCATGTTAAAGAAAGAAATATTGAAGTGGGATTTGGCAAACCCATTTGGAGATCCAACTGATGGTCTTAGTATAAACTAACAGAAAAGAGGCCAAGTAAAAAGGCTCTCAGTTTTGATAAGTCATGAAGGATTTTGAATCCTTGTTTAAATGTTATCTCTTAATAATTTGTAGAAACTAGTGCAACCTTGTGCACTTGATTGATTTTTGGAAGCCTAAAAAATGGTCCAAAAGATAAAGAAATATGGATTTAAAGAATCATATAAACAATAAGAGTGAATAGCTCTTGGTCATGGAAAATAAATCTAATGATTTAAGTTGTTCCAGAATTTGGTTCAAATCACTTAAAGTTGGTTCGAACCAATTACACAGAAAACTCCGAAAGTATCAGGAACTTGGTTTGAACATATTTATATGAATTGAACCATTTTTGATAAATCAGAATTTATCCTAATATGTCATTTAAAATGATGGGACCAATCCCAAGAGTGAGAGGACTAAAAGTCCTTGACACATGAAAGCAAATAAAATTTAATTTTGAAGTGGAGGAAGCAAGAATTCCATTTGTTCATGATATTACAAAGTTATATGGCACTGTTTAAAAGTGATAGCGCTTGTTCTTGGAGATGTCTACACTTTTCAAGAGTTCATATTATTTTAAGACATTCTTATATGAATGTGTATGATGACTAAAAATAATAGGATGTCATCAAGTGCTTATAAAGACATTCTTAAATGAGGTGATCACCATAATCTTTGCAAGGTCTTGTGTGAATTAACTTCATGAATCCTTGATTAAAAGGATTACCAAAAGGAAAATTTACAAGACAAAGAAAAGGATGGGTCTCAAGTCCATATTGACAAAAGTCACACATGATGAAACCTCGACTTAATGCTTGATAAAAACTTCAAGTCTTAAGTTCAATGAGTAAAGTACATCATATGAATGTGACTGCAAGTACTCAATTTATCAATAATACCATCCCAAGTGAAAGAGTACTTGGTAACCACATGAAACAAAAAAGAGGATGAGTTTTACTCTTAATAGGTCCTATAACAAATTTCTATTGAAGTGCTTAATGTGGTGGCACTTTTGATGGGATCTACCTATATGAGTGGAAGTGGTGCCGCTTCTAGGAGTTAGGGACTTGACTCTAACAGCACTCATGAAAAGGATATAGGACACATGGCCAGTTTTTGTGTCCGTGGAGGTTGAATTCCTTCTTTGGAAGGTTTGAAGTCTTGTGTGTGATATGTGTCCAATTAGTCACTTAGAATCACTGGTTCAAAGTATTAGTCTACCATGCAATTCTAACTAATTTGCCAACACATGTTCACTAAGTGAAAGGTTCAAATTGTAAGATACCTTCATGTATGCATAAGATTTCCAAAACAATTGGTGGGTTGTTCTATTTTGAAAATGGTGGGGGAATGTTGAAGAATTTTCAAAATATTTCTAGGATTTGGATTCGAACCACAAAAAGTTGGTTCGAAGCAATTGCACAGACTGCATTTGAGAAACTGTAATTTTGGTTTGAACCATACATTTATGTAAAACCAGAATCCGGAAAGTTACGATTTTGGTTCGAACCACATTTATCTGGTTCGAATCATTTACGTCAGAAATCAGAGATAGAATTCTGATAAGTTTCTGAAGAGAGTGGATAACTTTAAAAAGCAAGGAAACACATGAGTTGGAATTCAAATCAAACCAAATGGCTTTTGGAAGAGTTTCCAACGGATAAAAATTAAAAAGAAGTGTTTGTTACCAACAGACATCTTGAAAAGAAATGTCTATTCCAAGAGACATCTTGCC